ATCTATAAGAGATTTTGCAATCAAAACTGAAGGAGATAGCACCAATATTAAAAAATATATAATATGCAACAAAGCTTGTGTCCTAGACATATTGCTCATAACAACCCATTCGACAACCAGCCCAAACAATCTTTGGGTCTAGTGTGAATTCCTTTCGTATAAACTAACTAAATCATAGAGGATTAACAATCACGTCATACGGTAACATGAAATATTATAAGTATTGTACCTCTCCTATTTTTTTAAGAGAGGTCATGGTGAAGTTACCTTTTTACTAAACAACTATTATGATAGTAGAGTTAGACCATCATAATTTATGTAGAGCGTGTAAAAAAGATTATTGTTTCTTCTAATTTAGGAAACGACTCTCTCTTCTCTCTTAGGACCACCTTCTCACCCTTATCTAGACTTTTAATGATCCATAAACTTACGTCAATTCAAAAGAGGTGAATTGTAAACCATTGATAAAAAATTTATTCAATGTCATATAAAATATCATGAAATACAACCACTTTTATAATATATCAATAAAAATTAAACTATCATTATCTATTAAGGGATGAATTTTATCTATGGATATAAATATATTCTCTTCTTTTTAACAAAATTTAATATTTTTATTTTAAATTTACTATTGATCAAATTATGAAAGGCACGACATTTGCAAAAACATTGAATTAATTAATCTTTGATATGCATTTTCATAAATTTCTAAAAAAATTTAAAATCATAAAGATCAGAAAAGTAAACAAACTGCAAGTGGTTGGTTTTTAGAGCTTTCTAGCAATGACTTGATGTGACAATAAGAGGGTGCCAAAATCAAGATTACAATGAACAACACGTGGATTCTAATTTTGTCAATAGGTCCACTATTAGTACCGAGGTAGCTATCTTGTTTGGTTCTTTGTACCAAACTTTAAATCTAATTAAATCCCATCTTTTGTTTCTTTCTTACTTCAGAAAAACCCTATTTCAATGCCGGTTTGGTAAGTGAAGATTCAATATTTTCAAAATAAGATTTCATGTTTGAATTTTTTTCTACAAAAAAAAAATTAATAAATTATTTATTTTAAAAATCTAAAATAACTTAATTTAAAATATAATTATTATAAATATTAAATGCGGGTATCATGAGTCTCGTACTAAAAAATAATTATTTAAAGATTTTAATAACCAACCTGCACCAGAAAAGTGATGCCCACATTAAGTTTACAATCCATGAATATAATCATGGGTTTAGTTGCCGTCATCGCCATAATTGCGGTTCACGTAACGTGTGAATGTCTCCAATAGTAACGGTAAACCACCATTTAGCTTATTTCTCAAATAAGTGTTGTAATTAACTAAGCTTCAACTTTTTTGTTTATGCATGATTAGGAATGATTAAACATATTGGTTTTCCATCATTACAATAATGTTTTACTTTGGGGTATGCGTAGTCTCATTCTTTGCTAAAAACATATGTTAATTATTATAAGTTTAAGTACATCATTTATAAACATTATATATAAATTCAAAATTAAATTCATTTTAATTTTAATTAAACAAACGTGAATCATACCATATATTTTTTGCACTTTAAGTTGTCAAATGAAACTTTTCATGGAAGTAAGGACCCGATATAACATTTTTTGCAATACAAAGATTAAATTGACGTAATGAGCATTCTCAACTACACTCCATAAAGGTTCCAAAAATGGTACAATTATTTACTTCTTGGAATAATAGGTAGTTTTAAAGAACTATCTGTTTCTAGATCATTTCATAGCGAACAAGGTCATTATGAATTTAATAACTAGTTTACTTAGCGTGCATGCAACACGAGTTTGGAGAAACTATAGGAGTTTATATTAGATATTTGAATGATGATTGCACCATCGGAGCATCTCTGGTCTTAAGCATGAACTATTCAAATATGCTCTAATGCACCATAGGCAAACAAAAATAAATAAGTTATATGAGATGATAGAAATATGTAGAAACAGAGGATACGTGATCAACCTTTAGTTTTAGACCCAACACAACAGTCTTCACATAATAGTGAAAGACCACAAAGACATTCTCACAGGTTCTACTCAATGGTACACGTGAATGGTGGAGGAAAAAGTTCATCTTTATCAAGTTAAATTCAGGACAACAATTAATAACATATCAAGAAATTTAAGAATTGAGTCTAAAATTTAAAATATAATGGGTATGTAATTTTTTTTTAATTTTTTCTTAACACATTAAACTAAATTTTATCATTTTTTTCTAAAATAATGGGATGCACATGATCTCTTAAAGAGTTTAATACATCCACCCCTAATAACAATAACAAGGATAATTAGCAATTATAGATGAACATGACATGCATATCTTGTAGTAAAAAGGACCTTAAAAAAACTTTAAAGGCTAATTTTAAAATTAAACATTTCGATATCATGCCTTTTATAAATGAGTACACGATTAAACATTGACACTTACTCAATCGAAACTTAATAATATTGCTAAATTGCTCAAGTCACTAGGGTTTTGCCGTAAAAAAAACGAAATAGATAAATTGAATGGAATCATGAAAGTGAACGCGCCTAAGGCTGCGGGTATGCTGAGAATGATTCGAAAGCAAAAGCTTGAACTTTAAACCGTGGCAAGAGAACAAAGTAAGGTGTTAAGTCTGTTTATAACTGCCACAAGGAACAATTCGCGAAACTAATACGTGGTCACGTGTACTAGACTGCGGCGTATGATTCGCCTGTCTTTCAGAAAAATGATATGATCCTGGTAGTTTTATACAGGACCCGAGCCTTGAAAATAAATGCTTGCCGAATGACCCGTGATGTGGGACCCCATAAGGCAGTTCATATCAAACCTATTCGGTTTGGTACCAAACCAAAGATTTGAATTTTATTGAACGTTCGTCTAAGATGAAGAAAGGAACAGGAAAGTTATCAGTAATATTACAAGCAATCCTTTTTGGAACGAGATGTAAGGAATATAATATTTTTTAAGTCATCACACACAATTAAGCCTTTATTTAAACTTATTTTTTAATATGAATTTAAATTTAAGTTAATTATAATTTTATCTCATCTAATTTTTAGATTGAATACATAATAAATTCGTATTATTTAAAACCTAGATAATTTATTCCTCTCAAAATTTGATCTTATCCTCATCCCTGGACGTAATATTATCTTTGAGATAGAATTACTAAATGTAAAATTATTTGACACATTACCAAAAAATGATAATACTTTATTTGATTCATTTGGTTAGAGTGTAAGACGTGTTTGATTAGGGAATGTAAGATTATTCACATATATTTTATTATGTTGTCATTATTATGATTTTTTTTATAATAATTTAACATAACGTTAATATAATTAATATAGTAATTAATTATATATATATATGTATCTACCAATATATTATCATCATACCATATTTATATTGTCAAGTCTAGAACAAACTACAAAACAATCGTTATCGTGGATTAATTATTTTAAACAAATTAAACAAATAGAGGTACAGAAACATAAATTATGACTTTTATGTCTTATATTTAATCTAAAATAAAAATATTTATTGACCGAGTTGAAGCAACATATAAATTTTTGAAAAATCAAACTCAAAGACTGGACTATGCATATCCTGTCCAAAATTTATATTTTTTAATTTAAAAAATAAAAAATAATTTTACATTAGTTTTTGTATATTTTTACAAGTGAATTTCAATTAAATATTTGTAATTAAGGAGTCATCCGGTCCATGGACAATTTTAACTTGAAAATAACAAGTTGACATAATAATAAACTTAAGAAACAAAATATGATCCAGAATATAACATTTTCTTGAGAATATTACATTAATCTCATATTACCTCGTCAAGTAATGTTACAAAACCAAATAAGATACTGTTATTTTAAAATATTATATTACCTTTAATAATATAATATTATCTGAATTAAACACAAACTCATAGATAAGTAAAATAAATTTGAAATAATTTTATTTATCATTTATAAATTTAACTTGATCCAACTCTGGATATAGTTAAATTTTATGTGTTTATTAAACATTAAAAACAATTGTAAATGATTTTTGCTAAAAAGATTATACATGACAACACCTTATGCTATTAAAATTGAAATATAATATTAAATTTATAATTTGTAATTTTAATCATAGTCAATTATTTTCAAGGTACAAATTATAATATTTAAATTACTAATAACTTATGATCCTTAAACCGGAGATAATTGTACTATTTTAACTCATAATCTTTTAAAAATTGTAACAACAATAATACCAATTGAGTTAATACTTAATCAACCCTATTTTATACTATTTTAAAATAAACGATATCTTTATGATGTATTATAAAGTTTAAATCTTAAATTCATAATTGAGTGTTATTAAGTGCAAATTTTGGGTTTAAGGGGCATAGCAACACCGATTTAATAAAATGATTATGGTCACTTTTTAGGGGATGAAATTATATTTTCTTACAAATGCTACTAGCAATTAAATGTATTCTGATTAACGGGATGAATTATTCAATGTATTCGATTAACAAAAAAAATAAAAAAAAATAAAGATTTTTTTTCAATTCATTTGATTAATTAACACAAAGGTATTATCTGGATACAGTTACTCCTACAAAAAAAATTTAAGTACGACCTTAATCTTACTCTTAATCATGCTTTAAAGTTTCAAATCCACGCGCCAAGGGGCAAATAACCCGTTGGATTCAACGAAAAAGTAAAAAAAAGAGTTCGCTCCTAACGACGTGAGGTTCGGAGACAGCTATGGGGAGAGACTTGGAGTAATAGTAGCTTTGGGAGACGGAGGATAGATTCGATGTGGCGTAAATGTATATATACCTACAAATCATAAAGAAGAGTTGGCTTGGGTAATGGAGAATGTGACTGTGTTGTAGAAGTTCATTGTTAATATCACAAAAAGGAAACTTCAACTCCCACTTCCCCACAGACACCCCAACTTTTTTTTTTTTCAATCTAATTTCTATATATATATATTTTTAGCTTCATTTCCTGTCATTTGGGAGATTTATTTTATGATCAATTCGGTTTCCTTTTGGGGATTTTCGTTTTGATTTTTCTGGATGGTGGAGTTGTGAGAATTTTATTTTTTTTTGGGAATAGTTTGTGGAGAGAAAATGGCGGCGGAGGGAACGTTGTCGCTTTCAGTTGCTTCAGTTGTGGAAGATGTATTGCAACAGCACGGCGATCGCTCCCAAGATCTTGATTTGGAATCCAGAAAAGCCGAGCTAGCTGGTATTTTGATTTTATTTGTTTCTCTTTGAAGTCTGCATCTGGATTATGAATTAGTAAAAGGAAAGCCACCAGATCATTGATCATTTACATTTTATGTTTTCCTTTAAAACAAAATAGATGAATTATGCTTTCTTAGTGAGTAAAATTTGAATACAAAATAGATGAATTATGCGATGATCTCTTGAATGGCAGCATCAAGGAGGTATGAAGCGGCTGGATGGCTGAGGAAGATGGTTGGAGTAGTTGCGGCCAAAGATTTTCCGGCGGAGCCATCGGAGGAAGAATTCAGGCTTGGTTTGAGGAGTGGAATGGTCCTTTGCAATGTTCTTAACAGAGTTCAACCTGGAGCTGTGCCTAAGGCGAAATTACTTTTCTTCTTCTTTTTTCTTTAAATTGATTTTACTTTTCATTGTCATTAACTTTAATGGGGTTGGTTGGTTTTAGGTGGTGGAACGTCCATGTGATGCACCTCCCATACCTGACGGAGCTGCATTGTCAGCATATCAGTACTTTGAAAATGTGAGGAATTTTTTGGTAGCTGTACAAGATCTGGGACTTCCAACATTTGAGGCATCTGATCTAGAACAAGTAGGTTTTTTGAGCATTTTTGTTTTTCATATCTATTTTAACTATTCTTTTGTTTCGAAAGAAGCAGTTTTCATTGAATTGATTATTTATTCATAATTTGGTTAAAATCTTCAGGGAGGCAAATCTTCAAGAGTGGTGAATTGTGTTCTGGCGCTCAAGTCCTATAACAAATGGAAGTTCTCTGGTGGAAATGGAGTGTGGAAATTCAGTGGAAATACAAAACCTGCAACCACCACATTGGCCAAGCAATTTGTGAGGAAAACTTCAGAGCCTTTCATGAACTCCTTCCAGAGGACTTCATCGATGAATGAAAAATTATCCAATGATCACGTCAATGAGATTGATACTAATAAAATGGTTGGTAAGCTTTAACTGTATTAAAGTATCCACATGTTTTTATATTATACTTGGTCAATGTGAATAAAGTTTTTCTTACTGTACCAGCAGACTGGTTCTGGTTCGTTAAGTATGCTGGTTCGGGCCATTTTAACAGATAAAAAGCCTGAAGAAGTTCCGATGGTAAGCTTTTACAGGTTCATTACTGTAAAGAAGCATATCTTGGTACTTCTTTGCTTTTCTTAGCTAGAAGGTTGAAGGATATCTTGTAGGAGTTTTGTGTTACTTTTATCTTGTTCCTTTGAGTGCAAATGTTGGGTCTAATTAACATTTAGGCTCTGATATTCGTTGTTGTGTTGACTGCTAAGATATTGCACTCATTTCATGTCTTCCTGATATTTGGTTGTCTTCTTCGTCATTTCGTCATAAATATTGATTATCCTTTCACTATAGCTGCTACTTATGTTGTCATATTTGATTGTTGATAGCTGGTTGAATCTTTGCTCGGTAAAGTTGTAGGGGAGTTTGAGCGTCGTATTGGAAGCCAAGATGAAGTGGTATGTTAGTTTTCAGAATTACAAAATTTGTGCATAAAAAATGACAGAATATGAAAAGTTATTTACTATGTAACTACTGAACAATCTTTACTAACCTTCTATATTATTTCTTTTCTCCAAATTGTAAGATGAAAAAAATTTCAGATGACACCACTGCTTCTGATTTCAATAAGGCTCAGCGGAAACCAATTCCTGGGGATAAAATGGTATTTAACAATCCTTATCTATTAGACAGATTCACTAGATGGCATTTCTTGAATGTGTTACTGATGTAGGTCAAGTTTCTCTAACTTTTCCCCCATATTTATGATGATTTAGATTGAGGAAAAGAACATCAAAGTGATGAACAAAGACAATTGCTTTCATAGCAACATCACTGGTGACAAACTAAAAGGTCAATCTCCTAAATTACAAATGATTCTTGATCAACAACAAGGAGATATTCAGGTGGGAGCTATTTGTGTAATATATTCTTTTTTTTCTTGTCGACTGTGTACTTCACCGAAGCACTTACAAGAATTATAAACTTTTCAGGACCTAAAGCATACTATTAATGCCGCAAAAATGGGCATGCAATACATACAAATGAAATTTCATGAAGAGTTCAACAATCTTGGTACTCCAACTGAAGTACTTATTTGCATTTTCTTGCATTTTACGGAAATGCAATGCGTGGTATTAATGTCTGAATTTAATGCATTTGTTTACAGGTATGAATATCCATAGCTTAGCTCAGGCTGCTTCTGGTTACCATAGGGTTCTAGAAGAAAATCGCAAGCTATACAATCAAGTGCAGGACCTTAAAGGCAAGTTCCCTTTTGCGTAAGTTCTAACAATGATTTATCCTTATATTAAGTCTTATTGATTAGAAAGGTTATCTACTTTGTCTGATCAGGAAGTATCCGTGTTTATTGCCGTGTGAGACCATTCTTGTCCGGTAAATCTAGCTATCTAAGCATTGTGGATCGTATAGAAGACGGAAACATCACTATCAGCATCCCATCAAAGAATGGTAAAGGATGCAAGACCTTCACCTTCAACAAAGTCTTTGGGCAATCCGCAACTCAAGGTTTCTAACACTAATAGTTTAAGTGTTGATTGATTATGTTTTTGCAATTTTAGCATTCTTTACTTAGTTATATCTTATTATCTTGTAGCGGAGGTATTTTCTGATATGCAGCCACTTATTCGGTCAGTTCTTGACGGATACAATGTTTGCATATTTGCATATGGCCAGACAGGGTCAGGAAAGACATACACTATGGTAAGACATCTAGTGGTTGAATTATTCACATCAAAATATGATAATTCATGCACTAAGACATCTGATGGTTTAATATCCAGGTTGGACCCAAAGAACTAACAGAGAAAAATCAAGGAGTTAATTATAGAGCGTTAGGTGATTTGTTCATGTTAGCTGAACAAAGAAAGGATACTTTCCGCTATGATGTTTCTGTTCAGATGATTGAAATTTATAATGAGCAAGTCAGGGATCTCCTTGTTACTGATGGAAGTAACAAAAGATATCCTTTTCTCAATTCATTTGGTTTAGTTTCTTACAAAATATTGTTATCAGTTAGAACATATGTAAAATTATATTTACAGATTGGTGACATAGAAAAAGCTATCCTAGCATTCTTATTTCATCTAGAACTTCATCAGAAGTTGCTCTATGATCTGAAAATTAAAGATAAAATGCTAAAATGATTTAAATATGAAAACGGGTGTTGAGCCTCTTACTTTCATATAGGGTTAAATGGTTGTTTCTTTCCAGGCTTATCCTTAATCTAGTAATACGTTAGAAATTCGCAACAGTTCTCAGACAGGTCTCAATGTACCGGATGCAAACCTCATGCCTGTTTCATCAACATCTGATGTTATTGATCTGATGAACCTAGGACAAAGGAATCGGGCAGTTGGTGCGACAGCTCTAAATGATCGTAGTAGCCGATCTCATAGGTAGCTTTTGTTTCTTTACACCGCTTGATCCTGAAATATTTCTTTTCTCTGAAACTAAATTGTGTTTATCACTTTGCAGTTGTTTGACAGTCCATGTTCAAGGAAGAGATTTAACAACGGGAACTGTTCTCCGAGGCTGCATGCATCTTGTTGACCTCGCAGGAAGTGAGAGAGTTAACAAGTCCGAGGTAACGGGGGATCGATTAAAAGAGGCCCAACACATAAACAAATCTCTATCAGCTTTAGGAGATGTGATTTCTTCCCTTGCCCAAAGGAACACACACGTTCCTTACAGAAACAGCAAACTAACTCAACTTCTTCAAGATTCACTCGGTAAGTTTAAACTGTCAAAACTACTTAGGAGCAAATGAACTACATTCAATTTTAATTTTCAGAAGTTTTAATTGTACTGATACTGGCAATGTATTTTCAGGAGGGCAGGCCAAGACACTAATGTTTGTTCACATAAGCCCGGAGCCTGATGCCCTGGCTGAAACAGTAAGTACTCTCAAATTTGCGGAGCGTGTGGCTACTGTTGAACTTGGCGCGGCGCAAGTGAACAAAGACACCGAAGATGTTAAAGAGCTCAAAGAACAGGTTATTTGATCTAGATAGTTATTGCGATATTTCGCTAATGTTATACTCTTTGACTTTCCTCTTAGTAACTTGTCGGAATCCCGTTTCAGATCGCTAGCCTTAAGGCAGCATTGGCAAGGAAAGAGGGAGAAACGGAGCAAAGGCAACAATCTATATCCAGCACTGGTCGCTCTGAAAAATACAGAACAAAGGCTAGTAGTGACTTGTTGCCGCTTAGTCCTAATCACCGGGTTGGAGATATGTTGGGGGTGAAACAACTCATGGGTGATGTGGGTAACATCAAGGTAACTATTGTTTTCCACATTTGATTTGATGTAATTTCTTGCCAAAGTTGCGGAATAATATAACAATTCGGTGAAGATTGCTCAAGATGTTCTATAAAGCTTGATTGTTTAGATCATCATCATGCATTCTCTACACAAGTACACATACTGTGTGTGTGCATTAGATATATATATATATATATATATCTTGGTAGACCTAGAGGTTAAATTTAATAATCTGTTCTGCATTTTGCAGGTGGGCATGAACCTTACATTGAGGCAAGAGAAGCAAATCTTTCCTCTTGATGAGATACTAGCAAATTCACCTCCATGGCCTCCTGTTACCAGTCCTACACAAAACTTTCGGGATGACGAGAAAGAATCAGGCTCGGGTGAGTGGGTGGACAAGGTCATGGTGAACAAGCAAGAGGCCATTCCCTTAGGATGTTGGGAAGTAGAAAATGGGAATTTGCCCAATGCCTTTTTCCAGAAATATCTCCAAGATTCTTCAAATATTTATCCAGATCAATCAACATATAATATGTTCATTGGGGATAATAGGTTCAGCATGGCGGCTAACGATGACATAGATGACCTTGATGCTGCTACCAGTGACACATCCGAACCCGATTTGCTTTGGCAATTCAATCACTCCAAACTTAGCAGCATAACCAATGGGATTGGGATTGGATCAAAGGCCAAGAAGCCTATTCCAAAGTCTGCAGGTTCCCGAGAACAGAGGTAAGGCAAATGTATATATACACACAAACATATAAGTGTATGCAATGTATTAACATGCCGAATAATGTCTACCGTCAGCTTATGTTTTTGGCATGTTACTAAAGGCTTGTAAATCTTTGCAGCAAAAATTTATATCCAATGCCAGGGCCGTCACCATCCAGGAAACAAGGAAATGGGAGGCAGCCAGCTTCTGCTGATGGGAAACGCAAAACTGCAAGTAGAAAATAACATGTTCATATAGCCATTAAAATCACGTTGGAGTGATTTCTGATTCTTCGTTTTGTTATTTTTTTTCTTTTATATTTGTTAGGGAATGAGGAAGAGATAAAGAGGTTTTACATATACGTAATTACGTATGTATTTTTTCAATTTAATTGTAATTATTAAAATGAATACAATATGAGATCCATTAATTAGTCAAGTGATTAAGGATGTTCATATTGTTCCAATTTGTGTGGTTCAATTCCCGACATTTGATTTGAAAATGTAATACTTCTCTATTTTATAAATAATAATAAACAAATTATTAATTATTGTCAAATAGAGTCGAGCATTTTTAACGCATGATTATACAGCATACAATTTACAATATGTAAAAATAAATAAATACAACATGAGTATGTAACTTCCATAATATATTTAACACATGAATACTTATATAGTAGAATTCAGATATAATTAAGCTTCAGACATTAGATTTCTGATCACTCCTTCACTTTATTAGCTATTGTTAAGTGATATAGTTATTTCAATATTTTTTTACCACCTAGGTATTCATTTAAATTTGATCCATCGTTCGTCGCGATAACTACTGTGTCAATCACCATCGTCGATAATTATTAGACCTCAAATTTCTAAATTATTCTATCTCAATCTTTTAAATTTGAATCTCATATATGTTTCACTTAAATCTCACTAAAACAGCTGCCAATGCACTTATTGCCCATAAGGCCATAACCCACTTCATCACCACCTTTAACATCTCAACCACCATTGTTTATACCAACACACCAATAAATTGACGCCACCTAGACCTATTGAGTTCATCATTGAACCGATAACTAAACAAATTGCCCATAACCTGAACCATACCAACACTAAATCAACTATCAACTATGACCTAAAAGTCTTTAAACCCCAACCTACTGTCCCACCTTTTAACTCGAAACCACAATTCTTCCCTATTTCAACTCGAATCAACATTATACCACAATCACTACATCATCACATAGCTTGACACCTTTTGTCCCAACCAAATCAAAAACCTCACATGTAAAACAGAAGTCGACAAACCATTAGAAAAAAATAACAAAAAGAAGTGAGAAGGAAGAAAAAGTTTTAGAATTTTTCATTTTTGAGGATCTAAGTATTATTTCTCCAATCCCAACAATAGAAGAGTCTCACTTGATGAGGAGAACGAAATATCTCGAGTATATTGTGATCTAAAGACCGAAATAATATATCAAACAAATATAAAGACAAAGCTTCAAGTGAGATTGATGAAATCTAGTATGTAAAAAGGAAAGAGGACAACCAAGAGAAAGCTCTATCAAAGGCATCAGAAAGTGGTAGTTTCATAAGAAAAGAAAAACGACAACGCTAATTTCATAAATCTTGGAATATTTTTTTGTTAAACATATGTCAAATTCGTATTTAGGAAGGTTAAACCAATTTGATTCGGAATTTTAGTATTCGTTGGCTAGTGCTATGGTTGGTCACAATGAGCAGTGGCCAAAATCTAGACATACAAGGAGAAAAGGAGAGGATGAAAGAAGTTTAAGAAAAGACCAAAATGAAGAAAATTGAAAAAAATTAGATTTGATATGATTTCAATCATCATTTTGATATAAATTTGTTTTTTTTTTCAAAAATGAGGTTATTTTAGTGTCATCTGTTATATCATAATACCATTAATTATTTAATGATATAATAAAAAAATGATTTAAAAATTCAGTGAATAAATTAACTTTTTAAATTAAAATAGGATTAAAAAGAATGTTCAATGATAAAATCTATAATTTACTTAATATTATTAAAAATCTTTCTTAAATTACTATTCATAAATTTTATAAATTATATAATGCTATGCTTTTAGTTTGCTTATAGTACTATTATTCAAACGAATAACAGACCTTTATGTATATTCGAGAGCCTGATTGGGACAACTCAGGCAGTTGATTGGGATGATGATGATAATGGGGTACTATGAATCTAGACGAAAACGATATACTCAATACCCAGATTATTATTGTTATAATCGTATTTAAACTATTTATAAACTATACATTATATAGGTTAAATTTCGTTACTAGTCTCCTATGATGCGTAAGTTTATGATGTATAACTTCGGAATTTGTTTTTTATATTTTAATTTGATATTTTTTTAATTTTGATAAATTGATCTGAGTCTATGGGAGACGGCCAAACTGTGAGCGACTCTCAACTTGCATTGGAACTTGTCAAAGTTGAAAAAGTCTTATGTGCGTCAGCCTTAATATACGACTAAGGAAAGATGTTATTGGTTTTATTATTATTTTTTAATAAAATCAGTAAAAAATTATTGGAAACATTATTATTTCTATCAGTTTTGTTATTATTAGGTGTTTTACTAATTTTGTTAACACATCCGATAAATCACTACCGATTTTGTTATTATTGAATATTTTACCGATAATATTTAAAAACATTAATATTTTAGATAATTTTTATCGATTTTATTTTAATAAAATCGATAATATCATTTTTTTAACCTTATAATAAGATTGTTGCACGGTAGAATTTCCAGTGGATCTCCACATGACTTCAACATCATTCTTCGGACACATAAATGTACGCTAAAAGCCGCAATCGCCGCCAAAACCGCCAGCGTCACCGCTTGGATTGCATGTACTCTAATATTACATGTTACTTTGAGGACGTCTAGGGAGGGATCATTGAAATAAATATTTATCACATCATCTATAGTATTAAAAGAATTATTTAAAATATTGTAAATTATTTATTTTTACAAAAATATTTAAAAATTTATGTAAATACATTTAATTGTCTCAGTGATAAAAATTATTATTTTTTTAAAAATTTAAGTTTAAATAATTGCTTATATATATATTGTATATGTGTTATTAATGATTAAAAAAATTATAAAAAGTGTAATTATCCTTTAAAATTACGTGAATTATATATTCTTTTATATGTTTTAACCTTTTAAAATATATTAAAACAATAAACTTATTTTTAATTTTTGTAATAATTGCCTAAAATATTATAAATTGTTTATTAATTCTTATTTTTTGTAATATTATGGACAGTAGTTTAAACAAATTATAATATATTAATAAAAAGATAAATTATTATTCATAAAGAAATATTTAATTTTTATAATTTTTAAGTAATTATTTAAAATATTACATGTCCTTAAAGAAAATGAGTAATTTAATAACATTTTAGACGATTACATGAAAATTTATTAAAAAAATCAAAGTGTGAATGTTTTGTATTTCTAATATTATAAATAATTATTTAAGAAGTTATGATTATTACACTAAAATATAAAATTCTCATAGTTTTTAAACAAATATTTAAAATATTACATGTTTTCAATCTTATAATATTTTGAGTAATATTTTTAATTTCTCAAGTAACTATGATCATCTTCTTTTAAATTTATTTTAATGTTGTCCCTGGAGTTTACTTGTTCAACAAACTCGTATTTTTTCTGTATTAAAAGTAGAAACAGACGTGTAATTTAATATTAGAGAAAAAATCAAAATTTTAAAAAAGATATTCTTATAATAAAAAATAAATAAAAAATTTAAAATATATAATAATTTTAAATTTTTAAATAACGATTGTTTTCATTTACCCCTCAGTCCATCTCTAATCAAGAGCGTTCATACATAGTTTATATTTATGTTGAAACTAAAGACGTGTTAGGAAAAATAACTCAAGAAGATGAAGGTTGGAAAATAATAACATTCGATTACAAATTTTAAACATAAGGAAACAAATTTGGGAATTACATACGAAAATCATCCTAAATCCTAATTAACAAAGTTAAAACATCCAATATGAAAAACGAATTTCATCACATAGACGTTGATGTAACTGGAACATCAACGCCATCATCATCAAAGCTCCAAAGCTCACCGACAACATTCTCTGGCGGAGCTACGCCGTTTTGGGTCGGCGATTCACCGTCCAGATACGGTATTTGATAGAATTTCATGTAGTTCTCGTATACCATCAGCTCATCAGACAGTTTCTGCGCCTGGTTCTTTTCTTCTTGACCCTTGTTCATTGCCTCTAATCGTTTCTCATCTTCTTCTGCCAATTCTTCGGCCTTTACTGGGACGTAACAAGGATTCACATTCTCATCACCAGACCCTTTATTCTCATCTCCAGATATAACAATCGGGTCGGTTGCGTACCCGCCAATTTCATTCAAATCGTAATGAAACCCATAGTCATTGAGATTAGCGTTCATTGGGTGTTGATAAATGGAAGCGTTTGAATCGAAACTGGGATCGTTGAGATTGTAGTGGGTAGTGGAAAAAGCGTCATCTTCGTTGGGGAAATTAACCTTGGCTTTCTTGCCCCTGATTTTGCGAGCTTCTCGGTCGTAGGCGCGGGCTGCTTCCTCAGCAGTGTTGAAAGTGCCGAGCCAAACCCGAACCCCTTTTCGAGGATCACGAATCTCGGCTGCCCATTTCCCCCAGGGTCGTTGCCTTATACCCCTGTACAGGTTTTTTCTTGGTCTTTTCGGTTTCTTCTCCGCTTGTTCGGTGCCTGAAGCAAGAACAATAAGTGAACAACTCGAAGCAAAAGTAGGGAAGGAGACAGTATTAGTGGGTACCTAACGACATGTGCGGTTCGGGTTGTGGTCTTTTGAGCCGGGAGACTGAGTCGCCCCGGTTGGAGCCAAAGCCATTGGTTTTAGCGAAAGGGGAGTTAGGCCAGAGTTCCGAGGCGGTGACGCAGCGGCTACGGTTCCGGGGGATGAGATCAGCTATGATAGCACCGCCACATATTTCTTGAAAGATAAAATCGTCTCAGTGACTAAAAATGTCTTATAATATACGATTTTAATCAACTTTTTTTGGATTTGCCAAAATGACCAACAAAATTGCAACGCGATATCAAAATCGCAACGCGATTTAGAAAATCGCAACGTTGAAAAGAAAATCGCAACGGTCGAAAGAAAATCGCAACGCGATCTTCAAAGAATCGCAATGCGATCCAAAGAATCGCAATGCGAGCCAAAGAATCGCAATGCGATTCCAAGAATCGCAATGCGATCTTCGAAGAATCGCAACGCGATCGAGAAAATCGCAACGCGATTCCAATAATCGCAACGCGATTGAGAAAATCGCAATGCGATTCCAAGAATCGCAAAACGGCAAAAGAAAATCTCAAAAGCAGTAGAGTTGTTCGTATTGCATTTGTTTCTTAAAAATTTTCTCTAAAAAGATAGTATCCGCGCGGACGTGTCGAAGACACGTATTACCACGACCACGACCACGACCACGACCACGACCCGAGACGAGACGGCGATAATTGTAGAGTTGTTCGTATTGCATTTGTTTCTTAAAAATTTTCTCTAAAATGATTGGTTTAAGGTAATTATAGAAGGAATTTAAAAAAGGTAAGTGTTTTAGATAATTGTTTTGAAAATGAGTGAAGAATGAGGAAAAGCCGGGGGGTTTAAGTAGTGGATGGGAAATACTATACAGTGAATTCACGTTGGGGACACGGAACTTTCCTTTCTTTGACTTTGAGGACAGCATGCTAGGTAGTAGTAATATCACAATTAATTGTGAATGACCTGACTAATTTTGTTGACACTGTCTAATCTAAGATTCATTTATAATGAGTTTTAATTTAAAATATTATGTAATCGATAATAATTTTAAGTATAATGGTAAATGTTATATTGTGGTAGGTTTTAACTTAAAAAGTTATTTGTTTATTTTATAAATTTATATAATTAATAATAATTTTGGTTATAATCAAGAATGTATTGACGGTAATTTTTCAGATTGCATCCGGAATAATTTGTAATTTACATGATTTATCATGAAAAATATAATATATTATATTTCAACCTAAAACGTTATTCAAATTACTCTAAAAACTAATGCTCTTAATAAATTTTTCGATTACAATTGACTTATGTTATTTTTAACCTTATATTTTAGACTCATTTGCATAACACTATAAGTTAGTTTTATTAAAATTATAAAATTTTAAATAAATTTAGGCATGGATTAATATATAAATTTATTATTAATTAAACATAAATTATTAATATATAAAATTATACATTTACCCTTAAAATCATAAAATAACAATCATATGATAATTATCGGTGATGATTCATGGGACTTTGAATGAATCGTAAATACATTGTTTATTGTTTATTTATTAAGGGAATAACAAAATTAAAGTTTATAACAAATGTACCAACCTCCGACTTCGTTATCAATTGTATCTTCCATTTCCCATTGCATACTAATAATAATTAACTCTTTGAAGGCCTCCACTTTCATATCCGCAGCAGTAGCCTTTGTTTTCTACAAAATCTATGGGTTTTGCTTTTGCCTTTAAGAGCGGAGATGATTATTGGTCGGGTTAGGTTAGATTTTGGTTTATTTGAATTTGATTCGAAATTTTAAAATTTTTGTTTTTGTACTTGATTCAATTTAAGTTTAGAAGAATTTTATTCGACCTGAAATTCGTGTCAACTTTTCAGGTGAAAACTTACATTTGACTTAATTCAATAAGCCCGCGCGTATATTTATAAAGATCTAATTGAAAATTAATATAAATATATTATTATAATTATCTCTAAATATATAAGAGATAAATATAATATTATATCAAATTGGGTTGTCTCGAATTTTTCCACCATTAACATAAATTCAACCTAGTTCAAACTCGATTAAAAAAACGATCGAATCAAATTGGAACGAATTAAAATTTGTTAAGTTTGGATCATATATCTATCCATATTTAAAGTTTATTGGGTCCAATTATGGCAATAACAATCATATACTTTCTTAATTTCATTAGAATACTCGTATAATTAACCATATACTAAATGAATTGTGGAACTCTATTGGATATATAGTAGAATGTCGTCCATTGATTATTGGGCATTTCTTAATTCAACTACGTCCACCACAATAATATCGTGCTATTCCTTTTCGGGCCTTCAAGACAGCCCAAGGCGCCAATGAATCCAACTAAAATTCTTTCCCAATATTGTCTTCAATATATTTTCCGGGAATCATTTATCAAATATGTTTTTTTAGAGTTAATTGATCCACATGAAAGTTCATAGAAAATATTATTTTATATTATTTTTAACATATATATTTTTTAAATAAAATTTATACACAAATACTTAATTTTTTACTTTTATCTATTTAAAAATACAGAAACATACTTATATCAATATAATTATGTGTTTATTTTTAGGTACTACCATATTGAGAAATGTACATATTTACATAGATATAAATATGTATTAATTATTACACTTTTTTATTTTATTCATTCTACATGTATGAGTTGTACAATGAAATATCATATTGGATTATTTGATAAAATTAACATTTCAAAAATATATTTGATAAGATTAATCAAAAAAAACAAAAAAAAAACGTAAAATATACAATATAGGAAATCTCTTATTATATGTGTGATATCATTTTTCAATAACTATTAAAAAATTTATGCCAAAATAATAATATTTTTATATTATAATATGTAAAATTATATAATATCTAACTTAAATCAATGATTGAAGGAGAAAGTAAATTATAAAACTAAAGATTATCATATGATTTAAAGAAATAAAAGAGATGACAATTTTAAAATAATTCATTTGGTAATTTTGTCTAATCTGACGAAAATTGACAAATATCTAAGATATTGAAGAGAATGAAATTTTCGGGAATCCAACCCAAAATAGTTATTATAGGCAGTGTTTCATTACCTCATAAAGGGAATGTTTTGAATCAAATATAAGAACGTCACTCCGAAAAAGATTATTTTGACTTATAATAATTTTTTTATTGATCCAAATACCCGTAAAGTTATTATCATTTTTATTTAAATGTGATATAATAGACAAATACATGAGTAAAGGCTGACAAAACTGAAAACCGAAAATACGGTACACGTTACAAGATTTATGAGATGGAGCAATCAATTTAAACAGTAGATTAAGACAACTGTGTTGACCAGATGAGACACTGTTAAGTTAAAAAATATATTTTAAAAGCACGATTACACAATATAATTTATTAATCGATTTTAGTAGCTATTGTTGATTATTTTAAATTTTTTAAAATTTGAATAATTAAATATGTAAAATATATTATTAATAATTAAAAAATATTCTAAAAAATTGATCAAATGGAATTAGGTGTAGATAGACATCACTTTTAACGATCGCCGTTGATTCATGGTTTTAAGCTTCTATGTCAACAAAAATGTCTTTCAATTAATTTCCTAAGAAAAAGAAAAAACAAAAACAATGGAAGTTACATTTATTCAAAGAAGATGCATACCTATTCCTGGAAGATGCTTTTTCACAATAAAGCCATTTAGCCTTTCCAAATCCAGAAAGCTAACTTATTTGAGAAAAATAATAGATTTAGAATAGGAAAACGATATCTATACATAGTGTTTTGGCTTTAAGATATTTCACCATCGGCTGCAATTCACGCCCGAGACAAATGTTGTACAGCTGCAATTCACAGTGGACGTCGGGTCCTTGTGGACATTCTTCATGCCTGTATGGAACACCTTGTGCTTTACATAAGGTCATCTTCCGTCTAGCTTCGAATTTCAACTTCCTTCCTTTCGAGCCTGCTAGTGCCATTACGTACTTATGGAATATGTGTCCAACCTCTCCACCAATAAAAATTGATGGTCCAAAAATCTAATCTAGCCCCTAGGCCCCATAGTTCTTGTCCTGGTCAGTGGTCATTACAAACACATGTTGAAAATCCTGCTGTCATTTTCATTTCTGTCTCAAAATTCACTCTTCTTCTCAAACGTATAAGATTTCAGGCAACGTAAATGAACTATCCCTCAAGCCATGTGTCCAAAATTCCGTTGTTTATATTCTAGGTGACTTAGGTTGGCTTATTTTATAGTTTATTGGAGTTGTTTTTGCTGCTTTTAGGGAAAGAATGGGATAGGGCTCTTACCCTTTTATTCCACCGTTCTTTTTGTTATCCAAGTAGTTTGAGTTTGGGAACAAATGGTTGTGGTACAAAATGCATTGGGTTCTTTTCCTTAGCTTTATTTCCATAGTGTAGCTGTCCGAAAGGTATTTGTTTAAATGCCAAAGAGAAACCAGTGCTTGGATCGAGACTCAAGGTTATTACAGGGCTGCTCTATTGTCTGACCATTATTCCATTATCTTAGCGCTCAAGGAAAAAATTAGGCCAAAAAGACGAGATTTACATATAAACTTGAGTGTTAATTTTTTTAATATGTTATAATTTAAAGGATAGCGAAATAATATTATACAATTAAAAAAAATTTATAATAAAATTAAGAAATAGATCATAAATTCAAAATAAATAATATGATTATAACGAAACCAAAACCATGTGTGACAACATTGCCCAATCTTGGGATAAAATAAACTTAAAAACTAGAAACACCAAGACCAATACAATACTTTAGGTGAAAAGAGGAGCAGTATAAAATAGGATTAAAGAAGAGTCATCATCATGTCGTGTCCCGTGACGATTAACAGCAAATAGTTATTTTCTTTTTATATTATATTAATTAATTTTTTAAATCTAGAAATTATCATACGTTAACTTTATCAGTAATGGACAACTGACAAGCCGTTCTGGATAAGGATATAGTGGGACAAATAATAAAAGCAAAGACTATATAAAAAGATCACACTGGACCACTTTTTCTTTTTCCATGTGCATGAATGCAATGAAAATACGAGAAAGAGCAAGGTTTTGCGAAGCTTGAAATCAGTTGGCATTTAATGGTTTTTCTGGTAGGACCTAGCTATCATGATTGTCATCTGTCCCATTTGATAGAATGAAATATAATAGATTTATACGATTTTTGTTGACAAAAATAAATAATTTCGAGAATGAGATGAAGAAATGTTGAAAATAGTGACTGAAATTGAATAAGGTGTAAGAGTGAGTGGATAAGTTTAGATATAAAGAGTAATAGAGAGGAAGAGAGAGCCAATTCCTCTGTCTATCGTAGGAGTTTATATATTGACATTTTATATTAATGTCAGTTATAAGACTAATGACTAAAATAGATATATTTCATTAATGTAATTGATTTATCAATTAATTTTGATTTTGACATTAGATTTATTAGAAATTATGTGAAAGGATTATAGTTTTTCGAAAATATATTCAACGATGAAAGATTTTTTTTCAATTTTTATCCAAAAATCTTAATACGAGTTTCAAATGTCACTTTAGTATATTATTAGAAAAATTCTACAACGCTCGTCGAGAGTAGATGAGCACTGTTAACGATGAACATCATTAAATAAATTTATAAAACGTTAAATTATAAAGTACTAAATGTATTATTATATTTGATGTAATTTTGGTTCATGTAAAAATAAATATTTAAATTAAAAATATAATAATTTATTAAATATATAATAGGGTAGGGACTGAACTAAAGAATGATAATCTAATATTCTCAAAATTTTGGCTTAGTAACAATTTACATCATTATAAGTTTAAATATTAAACAAATTACGTGTTATATTGTGAATTTTGAGTATATATATATATGATGTGAATACAACGTACTATATGTACAAAAACTATCGACCATTTGATAATGAACGCTCAGACCCTTACACACGTAATACTCAAACTCGAGACCTCAAGGATAACAATAATCCCTTAATTACTAAAGTCGCTTGGTTTATATTAAATTTTGAGTAATGAATATCTAATAAATCTTTTTATTTTTCTTAAATAATATAATATTCTGACTCTATCAATATTTAATCTTAACTCCGTCTCGGGTTAAAGGTCTAATGACAGCTAGTAAAATAAAAACGAGAATGATAGAATATTATATTTTTAAATTTAATTAAAAATTTATACAAAACTTAAATAAAAATTATAATATAATTCACCAAAATATTTATCACGATGATGCATCAACTTGGTCTGTCTCCTATTACATTTCGTTTCAACGTGTCGCAAATCGGATGAGTAAGTGCAAAACCATCTGCTTCATCTGTCATATCACTCTTCGCTTAGCTATATATACCACCACCGTATCGATTTCTTCAGAGCTCACTCAACTTATTCATTTCTTATCAAATTTCTTTATCTCTTCCTTTTTTCCGATTTACTTTTTTAATTATCAAAAATTACTTTTCCTAAACACTAGTAAAAGAGGATATCCAAAGTTTGATGATGGCGAATCCTAAGTTCGGTCGGATACCTAGCATGAGGGAGCGCGTGGAGGACACGCTTTCTGCTCATCGTAACGAGCTCGTCGCTCTTCTCTCCAGGTTCTCTTTTCTACGACTCTCCGGTTTTATTAGCTTTTTTTTTCCTTTCTGGTTTTAACTTTAGTAGTATATGTTTGGTTTCCAAGGAAACGATGAAGGAAATTATGTTACTGAAGTTTAGGGTTGTGGAATTTGAAGGTACGCGGCGCAGGGAAAAGGAATATTGCAACCGCATACGTTGATCGATGAACTAGAAACCGTTGTAGGCGACGAGAAAGCTCGGGAGAGGCTTAGTGATGGTCTCTTTAGCGAAGTCCTTAAAACTGCACAGGTCATTTTAAACTCTCTCTCCTCTTTTTGGACTTTAATCAATTATTTTAATTTTTAAATATATTGAGTAGCACTTTTTTATATTTATTTATTTTTTCTCCGCAATTAATGATTCGGTAAATAAATAGAAAATAATTTTGTAATGCTTATTTAATTTTGGGTAAATTATTTTTAATTTACTGTTTCTTCTAGGTAAGCTCTTGATCTCTGTCAAATGGAGTATGCACGGTCTTTCGTATGTTATTATATTTATTTATTTTTGAAAAAAAAATTAAAACTACAGGAGGCCATAGTTCTGCCTCCATATGTGGCTATAGCAGTTCGTCCAAGACCTGGTGTTTGGGAATACGTACGAGTCAATGTTCACGAACTCAGCGTGGAGCAACTGGGTGTTTCCGAATATCTTCGCTTCAAAGAAGATCTTGCGGATGGAGTGTAAGCTTATTTTCTGTTCTTTGTAATTTGTGTTTATTGTTTCTTTGAGGTCATTGTATGGTTATTATATGTGTCCTAGCTTATAACTAATTGAGATTTTATTTGTTGATTTTTTATTTTTTACACATTGCAAAGGGATAACAACCATTTTGTGCTTGAACTTGATTTTGAGCCATTCAATGCATCCTTTCCTCGGCCTAACCGTTCTTCATCCATTGGCAATGGTGTTCAATTCCTCAACCGTCACCTTTCCTCAAACATGTTCCGTAACAAGGATTGTTTGGAGCCTTTACTGAATTTCCTGAGGGTTCACAAATATAAAGGATATGTAAGTACTCATAGGAGGTTTTTCTTTCTTTCAAAAAATCCATTTTCACCCCTACTTATTTGGTTTACCTGCTTATTCATATATTATTCTTCTCTGTTACCCCTGGCACATGGTTCACGTTCCTTGAGATTTAGGAAAAGAAAATTTCTCCTTTTGATTTGTATGGTGATGCATTAACAGACTTCAAAAGGAATATGTTGGAGTATCTATTTTCTGATGAAAATTTTGTAACAAGATAAACTAACGAAGGTTTCTATGTAGGGATTAATGTTGAATGATCGTATACAAAGTGTACCCCGACTTCAAGCTGTTCTGGCTAAGGCAGAAGATCGTCTTTCTAAGCTTCCACCTGATGCACCATATTCTGAGTTTGAATATGAGTGAGTGTCTGTTTGTATATGCGTTCAAACATACACACATACATATTTGTTTCGTGGAGTCTATCAGCATACGGGTAGAGCAATAAAGTTGTTGATATCTTCGTCTGCTTTTCCTTGTTGTATGAATGCAGGTTACAGGGAATGGGTTTTGAGAGAGGGTGGGGAGATAATGCAGCTCATGTTCTGGAGATGATGCATCTTCTCTTGGACATCCTTCAAGCTCCTGATCCCTCTACATTGGAGACATTCCTGGGGAGAGTTCCTATGGTGTTTAATGTTGTCATTCTATCTCCACATGGATACTTTGGGCAAGCAAATGTTTTAGGTTTGCCAGACACTGGTGGGCAGGTACGTAGTGAATATGAAAGCATGGAAATTTCTCCAGAATTTTGTTCATTAAGGGGTTGAATCTTTGTTCTGCCATTGCAATTGCATGACTTCTTATTGTTTAACATGTTATGATCACCATTTTTCCCATGTAATGTGCAGGTTGTTTACATATTGGACCAAGTGCGTGCCTTAGAGAATGAAATGCTTCTAAGGATAAAGAGGCAAGGACTCGATGTTACTCCCAGAATTCTTATTGTAAGTATATGACTAGATGCCCAGATTGCTTCATTTTGTTTTCTTAACTTTTAGATTTTTCTTATGAAAATTTGACATATTTTTCCTTCTTGTTCAAGGTGACCAGGTTAATACCTGATGCAAAGGGAACCACTTGCAATCAAAGGCTGGAAAGAGTCGCTGGGACAGAACATACTCATATTCTGCGAGTTCCTTTTAGGTCAGAACACGGGGTTCTTCGTAAATGGATATCAAGGTTTGATGTATGGCCTTATCTGGAGACTTATGCTGAGGTAAATCATTTTGATTTTCACGTGGTCGAAGGTTATTGATTTCTTTCTCTAAAGTAGTTGAAGATTTTTCAA